CTCATTCAAAGGTGACTCTTTTTTTATAAATAAGGCTTACTTAGAACAGAGGCTGGCAGTATCAAGTGCTAAAATTCTCACAGCCAGTTGTATTTCAGACCAAATTTCATGTCCATCAGCTGACTACATTTGCTTTGACTGCAGCGAAGCCTGGTAAATAGAAAGCAGACAAATGAATTAATAGTGAACTCACCTAGACCAGGAAAGTTTTGAAGAAATGCTAAAAGAAAAGAAAAGGTTTTAGGCAAGTAGAGAGCATGGCTTGAATGAGAAAATGCATTTGTCATGTTGGAGGGCGCTTGGTTTATTTGGTCAGTAATACTTAGAGCAACACCAGCCTGTTCTGAGCAGTAGTCTGTAAATTGTACTAAATAGAATATAAATGGGATCTACAAATTATTTTCAAAGAGGGATTACATAATGCAAATTAAGGGAAGTACTAATAAAGAGGGTTAGAAATTGTGAAGCAGAGACGTGGTTATGGTACAGGTTCCAGGAAAGACACACTTCAGTGCTGAGCGTTTCTCGCAGCATCTTTGATGCGATTTTGAGAGGTTCAGAGCTGGGCAAACACAAATCATAGGAGAAAAATTGGCAGAGATGTGGGGCCGTATTGAGACTGTTTTTCTACAGAAGCCTATCTTTAGCATCTGCATTTGAGAAAGTGATCAGTGATTCAGGCCACCTACAAGCCAGCGCTGCCAGACCCGGCTGTCTGCACTGTCAGTGGAGAAAAGCAGTCATGATACCTAAATTAGCTACTGGGAGCAGATTATTCTGAATACAGCCCTGAATTTAGGAATGGAAGTAAGTTCTTGTACTGTTGAACTAAAGAAAGCTGTTGAAACAGCTGGGGACCCAAAAGGATGAAAGTGTGCTTATTGCTTGGCTCCGATTTCCTAATTTAATAACTATGGAGGAACATGAAAATCTGGTTTACTTTAAGGTAAAATTTAGGGAAAAAAATATAAGGAGAAAATAGAAAGTAATGATGGTTTCTCCAGTGCCCCTACATATTTTGGGCAAGGATTTAAAGTCATGCACAATGGGAAAATTCTAGGTATTCAGAGAGGAACCTTAGTACCGCAGCCTGTAGCAAAAAAAGGCCGCATAATTGCACGTAGGATTGTGTTTAGCTGTTACGGTGATTCCGGCCAAGATATTTACCAGCAGTCATGTATTCACTGTTGCTCTTTAGCTTTTTAACATGGTTGCTTGTTATCGAGGCGCTTTTGCGTTGTTTTGCTTTTTGTAGCTGTATTTTGGTTTGAACTCATTGTCACGCTCTAAAATTTTAGCGCTAATAATAATTGCAGACAGATTTTAGTTGTCCCATGTGGGTCCATTACACTCACTCTTCCTTGGTTTCTGTTTTTTTTCTCCTTCTTTATCTGGTTTGTTGTGCTTAGAATTGTGTACAGTAATGCCTAATGAATTTCATGGGTGAATAAAAAAAACCTGTGCAAATAAGAGAGGAGACAAAGAATAGAGAAAAGGGGGAAATTGAGGATGCTTCAGCTCAGAAGCGTAGGAAAAGCTAAGAAAATTGTAGAAGAAAACCTGTATTACACAATTCTCTTTCATATCTGTGACAAAGATGATTTTAGCCTCTTGATTTAAAAAAAAAAAATATTTGGAAGTCAGTGGGTGGCTTTTCTAATGGCTCAGTGGGTTTTGGCTGACTAATACTCTGAGTCTTAAAGACTATGAGCAACGTACTGTTGTTATCTGTCAGGGAGGACATGATTGCTCTGCCCAAGAATTAAGCAATGTTTAGGGTGGAATTCACTTCGCCTGATGTTGGGTGGCTACGTCTGAGCTAGTCCCTGAGCTCCTGCCAAATCCGGGGGGAACCTTATCAGATACTTTTTTTTTCTCGGAGTAGGGCCCCTGAGGTCAAGAAAATGAATGCTGTCGGTCTCTCGATCTCACATTGCTTCAGATAGGCACAAAAGCTTTGCCTGTTTTTTTAATGAGGTAACGTAACGAGACACCTTCCAATTCTCCCCACTGTAAATGGAAGGAGTAAGGTGGATCAGAAAGCTCCAGACATGCTCATCTGCAGGTGAGGGGTTTGTGACAGTAGAGATCTGCCTCTGGAATGAGCCCGTGGGCAGATGTTGTGCATCCAAGCCTTGACCATCATTAAGAAATAGTGCTGAACTTCTTCCAAAAAGAAGAAATTACATGAATGGCCTTCGCAGGGCTGCTGCTCTCACTTTCCAGGCAGAAAAAAAAGCCAACCTTGTCAAACAGCAAAACAAAGAACAATCAAAAAGCTCTTTCTCATTTGGGGTTGTTATCAAGACAGAGGTTGCTGTCAAGAAACCCTAAGGACTTTTGGTATTGATTCTACATGGAAGATCGGGGGAGGTTTTGGTGAAAGGTGGTAGTAAATAAAACACATTTTATGAAAGATGGAGTCAGAGACTCACTGGAATCCCGTATGCTTTCTTTTCCTTACCCTCTGCGCCAGCATCCCTGTCAGGGAGCGTAAAATGGACAGCTGGTCTTTTCCAAGCAAGCCAAAATTATCTTCCTCAACCCAGTGGATGCAATGGCTGGTATTTCAGACATCAGTTCATGCACTGTGTGGGTGCACGTTGTGTTTATCATTAAGTGTGGAAAAGAACAATTAAATATGTGAAGTATTAAGTAAGACTTCCAGATTCTCTCCTCAACAACTTCCCAACATGGACAACGAGATGTTTTCCACTGAACTCACTGGCTGACAATGCTGGTATTTGTGCTGCACAGGACTATCTTTCACTCGGCAGTTTTATATGCTAACTTTGATTTCTGCTTTAGCATCTTGGAGAGCTTGACAGTGCAACATGCTTTCTCAACTCAGTCAATACACGAGGAGAAATACCACTCGGAGGTCGTAACATGCTGTTCCATCTGCTCTGTCCTGGCCTGTTTCCTCAGCTGGATTTGCAGATGGGATCGTGGACATAGACGTTACATGGAAGCCAGAATTATGATACCAGGTCAGAGCAGTTGTCTGCCTCAGCTGGGATTATGTATGGCAGAGTTGGCACCATTTGCCTGAGGAAAAAGAGTGTGCTGGAGAGTAGGACCATACACATGTTGGGAAGGTGAATGCTGGGTTTGTGCATTCATATCTCTGTGTTAAGGAAATATTGAAAAGGACCAGAATTCCCATGTGCATTGGCCTGTGGCGATCTGCCCCGTGGCGTA